TCCATCCTGTCTTCTTGCTAAGACTTTGGAGTTCAATCTTCGAACTTAGAAGTCAGGGCTACGCTGGTTACAGGTCACTGGGGGCCCCCCACCCCCAATTTTGAGGAGTGACAGCAATTTGTTCATGTTCTGCGATACTAATTAACTCGAATTGGTCAAAAGCTTGCCTAGAAGAGAAACAGTTCTGAAAAGGAACTTGTGAATTCTGCACACTGTGAACTTTCCTTAATTAGCATATTAACATGTTTCAGATATTTGCAATCTTGGGAATAGAAAAGCAAGAGCATCTAAAACTAGCAGTCATTAGCTCTGAAAAGAGCCCAGTGGTAAAAGCTGGTGTTTTGCAGCCAGACAGGTGTGGATGTAAATCTTGGCTCTGCTACTTACTACCTGATCTTGGATAAGTCAATCTGGGTGTGCCTCAGTTTTCTCAACCTATATAATAAAAGGCTACTATGCAAATAGACTGAATGGTGGAACACCAGAATAACCAACCAACCAAACAACCGGTCACTATGATGTGAGCTGACCACCAGGGGGCATGTGCAGAACATGGTGGGCGTTGGCTGCAGCAGGATGGTGAAGCAGGTGAGCGGGGGCGCCAGACCAAGGCGCGGCACCGGTCGCTGTCATTGGGGCCAGCATCTGATGGTTACTGAAAATTCTTTTCTTTCGTACACCACGGTCCCACCCGGCGCTCGCACCTGTTGCTGGCACCAGCCCCGCTTACACCCGCTGCCAGCGCCAGAGCCACTGCTAGCACACGCTGCTGGTGCCTGGCACTGGTCCGGATCACTCGGCGCATCAGTGGGTGCTAGTGGTGGCTGCTGGCCCTGAGGGCTTCTCCACCTCCCCCTGCTCCTGAGAGGCCATCAGGCAGCAGCCGCCGCTTGCACCTGCTGACGGACCTGCTTGCACCCTCTGCTGGCGCTGGCCCCAATTGCTCCGTGGTGCCAGCAGCGGGTACGAGTGGGGCTGGCACAGTCAGTGCATGGGAGTGGTGGCGGCAGTGGGAGCAGGTCTGCCAGTAGACAGGGACCCAGGGGTCGCAGCAGGAGGGGCTGGGTGGGGGCGCACAGGATGAGCCAAGACCTGCCCCTATGCCTACTGCAGCCTCGCGGCCACAGTTCCTTTCAAGGTGCACAAATTCGTGCAGTGGGCCCCTAGTCTGTAAAATAGTAGTAGCTACTTCATAGGATTGTTGTAGTAAATACAAGATGCTCTCAAGACCTAATACATAATGAATGTCCAATAACTATTATGAATCTGACCCAGTGGTAGATGATATGTCTTTTTTCCCCTACCAGGCCATTATTCCTTGTGGTCACACCCTTTGGGTTTCCTTTGAGTAACCACTTCTTCTCTACTCATAGTTGTGTGGTAGGCAGCTAGACAGACATGAGCAGAGCAAGGACGATGGGCCAGGTACAGAAGGTCACCAGGGTGGAAAGCCCCAGGTGCCTAGCAAGGAGGAAAACAAGGACCTCGCCCCCAGGGTGACCTTTCCTCCCCTATCATGTAGCTGGCTATGTAGTTTAAACCCCCTGACCTTTGATATTGCTGATCATTCAGTTTGGACCCTCTCCTGACCTTTCCTCCCCTGTCACATAGCTAGTCTGTGTGTGTGTCTGTGTTCTAGTTTCCTCTTTTTATGAGGATGCCGGTCACACTGGACTAGTGCCCACCTATATAACCCCATTTAACCTTATTACCCTTTAAAGACCCTATCTCCAAACACAGTCACATTCTGAGGCGCTAGGGTTATTAGGTCTTCAACATATGAGTTTGAGGGAGACACAATTCAGTCCATAATAACTTATGACCCAGATTTAGCCAAAACATTCATCTTCCCCCAGTCAAAGTGATTAATTCAATCCTAGACTTTTTTAAAAAACTTAAGTACATAGAATGTTTTCTGCCGGAAGCCGGTCCATCCTTGCTGCTTGACACAGTCGCTGCAGGATAGAAACATCTGCACAGCATATGTTTCAAGGGACCTGGCGTATATAGCATACTGTTCTTAATATGTTTGCTCCCCTTAGCGCTGTGTGTTTTAACCAAGGTCACCTCTCCGAGAAAGGTTGTTTCCCCAGGTAGGAATTTTTCCCTGAAGTCAGGGAGGGGATGCCTCTCCTAGAAAGGTTGTTTCCCCAGATAGGAATTTTTCCCTGAAGTCAGGGAGGGGATAAAACTCCTTAACTAAGTGCCAGGTGGGTAGTTAATCACTACAAACAATCATGCTTAAGCTACATAATCTTTACTCCCTGAAATGGAGATAAGAAACGCCCTAACCTTTGTAATAGAGATTGATAGGATTGAATCAACTGGTATAAATACAGATGTAATAAGACAGCAAGACACAGAACTTAGAATACAGAGCTTAGAACACAGAACTTAGGAGGCACAGAACCTACACAGAACGTTCTCTAGAGACAGAAGAACTTCGCTGGAGAGAACATGGCAAAAGATCCTGGACAGAAACTGGCCTCAGAACCTAGAGACAGAACCTAGCGAGAGAACATGGCAAAAGATCCTGGACTGAACCTGACTACAGAAATTGGCAAGAGAACCTGACTAGAACCTGGTGACTGAACCTGGCTGGAGAACCTGGACAGAACCTGGCTGGAGAACCTAGCGAGGGAACATGGCTACAGAACCTGGCTGGAGAACCTGGAGAACCTAGCAAGAGAACATGGACACAGAACCTAGCTGGAGATCCTAAGCAGAACCTCTCTGGAGATCCAGACCAGAATTTGGCTGGAGATCCTGGCCAGAGATCCTGGCTAGGCTGCTGATCAACTGAACGCTGTCTCCGTGTCATTCCTTCTTCGCCGACTCCATCCACACCTTTGGGGACCCCTGGACCCGCTGGGGCTGGACCCCAGCAGTTTTCATCTACAAGATTGTGTGTTGCAAAGATAATGTAGGATGGAGCTTCTGAGGTCCACATGTGGAAAAGCCAGTAGAGAAGAAAACATAGCAGAGAGGTGGAAAGGGAGAGACTGAGTCCTGGTGTCACCAGCTGAGTCCCTGGATCCAGCTGAGCCTAAAGCTCACATTGACAGTTCACTCATATACTCCACTAAACATCCCTTTTGTGGCTTGAGCCAGTTTGAATTGGTAGCTGCCACTTGCAACCAAAGAAGTCTTGACTAGTGTAGCCTCTACTTAATTAGTAAGGAGCTTGTAGGTCCCAGAGAAGTAGAAAGAAATGGAGAGGACTGAGGAACAGGACTGGCAAGTGAAAGGAATATTTACCAAACAAATTAGGTGGGTAATCATGAGCATATATTACAGGAATCAGGGTGGGTTTAAGAACAGATGTGTATTCCCTAGCTTAGCCTAATATAAGAAAGTTTGACTCTTCAGAGTAGTTAAGTAAGGCAGGGAGTTCTTCACTGAACCATAGGTGTCTCAGAGGCAGCAATGGTGTCTTGTTCAGATGCAATGTATCCCCAGTGCCAAGCATGAAATGGGCACTCAAAAAATATCGGTGGACTTGAATGGGCTTACTAAGAAATCTTTTGCATTTTATGATTCAACACAGACATCCTCAAAATAATGAATTTGCCACAGCACTATATTTGCAAGTTCCCAATACACTCACTGTTAAAGAATTACACTGATAATCATACAGTGGCCGAGTATTAATTTTAATGAGATTTAGTAACTCAGAGAGGAAAACGTCACCATTAGCAGACCTATAACTGCCTCTTTCCTTACCTGTAAAATGCATTATAATTCTCTGTTGCAATCTGGAACTGCTTTTCTTGGGATCTATTACAGCCCTTTCAGAAGGGGTCTGGAAGGGAAAAGGGAAGGCTGTCTGTTCACTACAGTGGTAACAGCATAGAGTGGGAAGGGCCTGGCCTTGCTCTCCTTGGATTACTGCACCACTGGATGAGAGCCTTGAACTTGGGTTTCTATCAAGCTGCTGGTAACCTAACCATCCTCCCCTCTGGAGAGAGATTACTCCTTAATGTCTCTGGTACATGGGGAAGGTGTCTATAGATTATAAGCAAATAACCTCCAAGAAGAGATGGGATCTTTATTATTCTGGAATATCTCCAAGAAGAGAGAGGTTTTCTATCTTTAGTTTGCTATTCAATTGTCCCTGAACAAAACTTGTCAGTGCCCTTTCCTGGGAAGGCCCAGACCATATAGAACTCGAGAAATCTAAGGAGAATTTTCTCCCAACAGAAATGTGTTTAGATAATGATGCCACAGGATGGAAGGAACCTGGATCCCTGTGTCACCAGATGAAGGAAACCCTTTGCCGACCCACATAACACATTACATAAACTGTTATGGTGCTCAGCCATTGAGATATGAGGTCTTGTCTATCGTGGCAGCATGCGTTAATTATCCTGACTAATAAAGATGACTTTAAAGTACATCAAACAAATTATGCCTGTATTAGAAATCAGAGAGCTAGCCAATATATACTAAATTCAAAATGATAAGGATGGGGGTGGGATTTGGGAGAGGGTAGAAGATTATGAAGAGGTCATACTTTACTAGTGATAGAGTAAAAGGAAACAGAATATGAGAGACAAGCCACAGCTGTCCAGGAACACATCCCCCAGTCTCAGCACGTCCAAGTGTCATCAGCCCACCTCGCCCATGAACTCAAATCCACACTGGACTCAAAGCCGTGAATGACTTTCACACCAGTTTGGAGATTTTCAGATCATCTTAAGCTCAATTACAGCTAAACCAATAATATACCCCAAATATCATTATTGGTAAATCACCAAGCAGGCCTGCTAATTGTATTTGCAGCTTCTTCATTATATTAGTAAAGTCATAAGTGCAGCTTGCTCTTCCCAGGAGATAACCATTCACAAGGCCAATTTCCTTGGATGCAGCTTTCATATCACAGCAGTTTGGAACTAATGTGTCTCAGGAAATAAACTGTCAGATCAATAACATTTGCAACCAGAGAATATTTGGAGCAAATAGCAAAGTACAGCCTGCAACAGAGACCAACATGATCCTTACCTGACCCTTGGAAGCTGTCGTAGCTGGGACACTTGGGATTTCCCAAGAGGTCAATTTGGAGATACTGTTCGCATTACCTGGCAAGACACAAAGAAGCCTCATTGCATTATTTTGTGACTCCTTCCTGGGAAGCTCAACATATCATCACTAATCTGAAAAAAAAAAAGCAAATAACATTTATTAAGCTTCTTCTGGGTGCCAGGCTTGATGCCTTGAGCAGTGCATGCAGAAATAAGCAGTCTTTATGGAAGTCCATCAAGTTCAAATTTGGGATCTGAAACTTCCTAAGGCAAGTTTGTCACTTCTCTGAGTCTCAATTTCCAAATCTGTACAATGGAAATAATAATACCTACTTTCCAGGGGTGTTTTGATGACTGAAGAGAAAGTATGTAAAGTGCCTAGTTTAGTACATGGTACATAGTAGGTGCTCAATAAATAACAGCTGTTGCTATGACTTTAACCACATCTTTTTAATTAAAGTTAAAAAATGTTCACAAAACAAATCAATGTTTCCCCTCAACTGGGCCATTTAAGGCAAAAAAGTTTACACGCCAATCTAAGTTGGCCCACATAATCCTTCCACCCAAAGAGAAAAGGCATGTCATTTTGTTTTTCATCAGAAAGAGACTGTCAGCTTCTCTATGTTTTCCTTTTTTCCCCCCTTCAGGACAAGCTCTTGATGTAACCTAGCAGTCTATAAGTATTAGATAAAGACCTAAAAGTTAATAAGGAAAGGAGCAAGATACAAAAATATAGCCGTGTAAGAAGTCATTATCAATTCATAGAACTGGGGTTACTTCTGCACCACTTACGCCGGGGATTGGATTGAATGAGCACTTAGAAACTGTGTGGCTCTGGGAAAATGACATAATTTCTCTGAGCTATTGCTTACTCTCTGCGAAATGGCAACACCATCTGCCTCAAAGAGGTAATGTGAAAACTAAATAAAATGATCAACAGTAAAATCTTAATGAATTTTAGAGCTCATTCCCCTCTCTTCATCTCCCATCATTATTAGGCCTAAGTTAATGCAGAAAATGCGTATTGGGCACTGTGATGGACATGGTGACATAGTGGTAAATAAGACCAACCAGGCCACTGTCTTCACAGTCCAGTCCACACTCTGGAGGGGAATAGATAAATTACTCACCCAACTCTACAAATCAATGGAAGAGTACACTTGTGAGAAGTACTAGGAAGAATGAATGAGAGTTTGCTAAGAGGTCCTGGCTGAGGTGTTAGGAAAGGCCTTCATGCCCATTCTGGGTTGTAAGCATATTTCCCAATGGTGAAATACGTAAAGTGCCAAGTTTAGTGCAAGAGGCCAGATCATGCTGGGCCTTACAGGGTGAGCTACAGGGCCATAGCACTGCACAAATACAGGAAACACCAAATTCACTGAACATACAGCCACACTGCAGGACCAGCAGCCCTGGTAGACAATTGCAGAAAATAGAAACCACAAGGGACCCAAATAAAACACAAAGTGTAAAGAGAAAGCATTTGGAAGAAAAAATAAATTATGAAACTTCCAAGGGCATCTGTGGTGTAGTAACTGAGGCAGACCAATGTTGCCATCAAGCAGAACTGGAAACGTTGGATTAAAACACACAAAAACTCCAAGTGTATGCTGCACTCATGACTTTACTAATATAATGAAGAAGCTGCAAATACAATTAGCAGGCCTGCGTGGTGACTTTCCAGTAATGATGTTTGGATTCTATTTGAAAGCATTAGGGAGCAGCCAGGACCTGAGATACAAAAAATCTGGAAAGAAGAGTTCAGTGAGGAGAGCCTACCATTGTGCACATTGCTTTTTCCCTCAGGGCACAGATGACTGCTAACCATCAAGAGAGGTGAGAAGCACAGAAGCAGAGCAGAGAGCAGCTGCGAAAAGGCTGGGAGGCCATCAGAGTGGTAGGAAAACTCATAAAGGTGGAAGACCAAAATTAGCATCTCATGAGGTCAAAAGGGCTACGAGTTGAGGGTCCAAAATATCTCCCCATAAAACAGGAGGTAATGAGAAGTGATCCAAAAACACTGCACCATTTTTCCCCTTATTTATGCTGTATAAGGCAAGTGGCTTAGAACTGAAGCCAAAAACGCTGTTGAAAATTGAGTAGTTTTTGGTGTTCTCCTAGTACTAAGGCACAAAACTGGATGGAGTTCAGTTCAGAGCCACCAATTCCTAGGAGATGCTTGGCAAACAGCTCTGGTTCTAATCTGATTCCAAGGAGTAGGGGTGAATTAGAGGCAGACAGAGCATTACAAAAATCGTAATCCAACCGTAGTCAACTTGGTCCCTGAGTGGACAGAGGTGATCTGCCTCTACACATTATTGTCAGCCAGAGGACAAGGAGACTGCCCCCCCCCCCCCAAAGAAGATATATCATTTAGAACACTATAATTTTTATACAGTGTCTGACATTCCATCAAAATTTACCAGGCATACTAAAAGCCTACCCAAAGAAAAAAATTAGCTTAAAAAAACCTGTTTAATATAATTAAGAAAATAGGTTTTTTCAACAGAGAACTTAAATCTACAAAAAACAGAACCAAACAGAAATATTAGAACCTGAAAACAAACAAACAAACAAAAAACTGAAATGTAGAATGTTTACCAGTAGATCAGACACAACGTTTTTTTAAAAAAAGTATTGGTGAAACAAGAGATAAGTCAGTAGGAAATATCCAGACTGAAACTAGAGATAAATGACATGGAAAATCAGAATAGAAAATAAGAAGCCTAAGAGATACCGTACAGTGAAAAAGTTCTAGGACAGGGGTCCTCAAACTACGGCCCGCGGGCCAGATGCAAATACAAATATTGTATTTGTTCCCGTTCTGTTTTTTTACTTCAAAATAAGATATGTGCAGTGTGCATAGGAATTTGTTCATAGTTTTTTTTTAAACTATAGTGCAACCCTCCAACGGTCTGAGGGACAGTGAACTGGCCCCCTGTTTAAAAAGTTTGAGGACCCCTGTTCTAATATATGTATAATTGGAGCCCCAGAATTAAAGACTACAGAGCGCATAGAAAAAGCAATATTTGGAGAAATCACAACCAAGAAATGTTTGAAACTGAGTAAAAACATCAAGACAGAGGTTGAAGAAGTTTTGAGAACCTCAAGTCGGATAAATACAAAGAAAACCACAGCTAGGTACATCACAGTTAATGAAACCTGAAAACAAATGAAATAGAAAAGCTTCTAAGGGATTATGTCTTCCATTTTTACCATGCGCAATAAAAGTTTGCAGTAATATTTGTAATTTTAAAAAAGAAAAGAAAACTTTTAAAAGCACACAGAGAAAAAGAAAAAAAAATACCACTAATTTCCTAGAAGCAACTCTATGAGAGTTGATATCTCAATAGACCTGATGGAAGCACACACAAAAAAAATGAAAGAAATACTATTCAAGTTCGAATTCTGTACAGACTGAATACAGTGGTGGGGGGAAAGTAGGTTTACAGTTGTAATACAAATAAATAACAAAAATTAATAATACAAGAATAAACTCTCAAGTACTCACAACTGTAAACCTACTTTTGCCCACCCTTGTATATCCTTCAAAGATGAAATAAAATGGGTATTTTCAAACAAATTGAAACTGAATTTGTTACTAGCAGTTCCAAATAAACAAATACTAATGGGGGTTCTTAGTTGTTCCCGTAGTGTAGTGGTTATCACGTTCGCCTCACTAATGGGGGTTCTTTAGGCAAAAAGAAAATGAGTACAGATAAAATGGAGGAAAGATTGAAGAACAACAGAAAAGGCCTGTCAGTAAATCTAAATGAATATTGAAAACAATAGCAATAATTACTTATGGGATTTTAAGTATATGCATATTTAAATGAATGATAAAAACACAAAAGGCAGAAGAAAGATAAATTGCAGTGTAATAGGCTCTGGATTGTCTGGAAAGTGGTCAGAATATTGATATATATATCAGACTCAAGTAAACAAAGAGGCTATGTTTTCATATTGGGCAATTACTAAAAGAAGGTGGAACTGAAAGGTTAATAAAAGAAAAAGTAGTTTAATTTTAAAATTGATTGGCTCAAATTAAGGCAAGAAAGAAGGAAAAATGTGGGGCATATAGAAAAAATTGTAATACTATAGATATAAAACCAAACATATCAGTTATTACATTACATGTAAATAGATTAAACATGCCAATTAATAGACCTAGCTTATCAGACTACAGTAGAATAAAACAATTACATGCTGCTTATGAGATATACCCATAATATGAAGACCTGAAAAAGCAGAAGTAAAAGGATGAAAAGAAAAAAAATAACAGGACTTGAAACAGAAAAAATAAATAAATAAATAAATGAAAAACACCACCACTAACCAAAAGGAAAGCAGTATAGTTACACTAATTTCAAGCCAAGTAAACTTGAAGGCAAGATGCAAAACTAGATATAAAAAGGAAAATTTCAATACAAAGGTTAATCCATCAGGAAATAACAATTTTACATTCATATATACATAATAGCATACTTTCAAAATGTACAAATCAAGAAACTAAAAAAAGTAGACAAATCCAAAATAATATTTTAACAACCTCTTTCAGTAGCTAAAAAAAACAAGCAGGCACAAAAGTAGTAAGTGCATAAAGACCTACACAACACAATGAATATGACTTTTTTGGCATGAGAACATTAAACAATAGATTGAACACAGCTAAAAGAAATACAAAGGATTAGTGAAACAGGAGATGAGTCCATAGAAACTGCCCAGTGTATCCAAGGACATCACAATACACATGCTTTCAAGTGCCCATGGAACATTTACCTAAACCAGTGGTCCGCAAGCTGCGGCTCGAGAGCCACATGCGGCTCTTTGGCCCCTTGAGTGTGGCTCTTCCTAAGCCTTAGGAGTACCCTAATTAAGTTAATAACAATATACCTACCTATATAGTTTAAGTTTAAAAAATTTGGCTCTCAAAAGAAATTTCAACCGTTGTACTGTTGATATTTGGCTCTGTTGACTAATGAGTTTGCCGACCTCTGACCTAAACCAATGAAACACAAAGTCAAAATAAATTTATTTATTTTTAATATATATTTTAT